TCAGTTTTAAAATCCAACTGTATGTTTTTACTTGTGAAGAGCCGTATAGAATAACCTCTCCATGCAGATATGGTAGACCACTTTCTGGGGATGGTTAGAGCTGCAATTGGAAACATCACATCTAAATAGTAAGAGAAGAAGTACAGGTTATATCCCCCTGCTCTTTATGTTTTCATGTTCTGGAAGAGCCTTATGAGATTCTAGTCCAGTCCAAAGGGGCTTTTAAAAAGTTTTTAATGAACTACTTTATAATTATTTACAGAGAGGAATGAAATAGGAATTTGTAAAAAGAACTCTGATACTGCTAGTTAGTGGCACTGTTACAAAGAGAATACTCTGTACCCTACCCTCCCACTGGACTTCAGAAATTTAAAATATAACGTATTCTTTAAAATTGACGTGGATTGTATAAAATGTTAAAATATACTAGCAATAAAATTCACAGATAAAATCACAGGAGCACTGCAACCAGCAGAAAACAGTGTATCAAATTAGAAGGCCAATAAATAAATTAGTCATAAAATGCCTTCCAGCACAAAATGTTTTTCAGTGTTCTGCTAATGTTGAGAACCAAAGTTGCTTGCCATAAAGTTTTAGAATTGCAGTACCACCTATAGGAAGAATTATCTCCCTGTCACCCAATGTTTGGATATCTGCAAGAAGACTGGGGCATTGCTTGTGATTCTAGTTTTAAGGCAAATATAAGTTTGGATAAGAATGGTCATTATGTTCTCCATCAATTTGTCTGACAGCTCATTTCTCCTTTGCTAGGATAGTTTTTAAAAAGAAGGGGGTTAGGGTATTTTTTTTTTTAGGAATGGGGTGGAAGCAAGATGGCATCTATGTTAAGCCATGCTTCCAGTAATATGGACTTATTGTGGAAAGGGTTGAATTGAAATGAATTATTTTAGGCTCCGTCAAGCAGACCATATTTAACTTATCTGAGATATATATACCCCATCTGAATCAGTACTTGTAACTGTATAGTATGATCTGATCAAGTGGAGCATGCAGTCCTGAGCTGCTCTTGGGTGATTCAGTTACGATGTTCTTTGCCATGTACTTTTCACACTCTCAGCCACTCAGTTTCAGAAGCTGCTGTCCTCAACATTCACATTCACATTGTTCTGAAATGGCTAAAGAGAGTTTTTCTTAGAATTTATATCTGAGTAAACTTGTGGGAAGAATACCCTATCATAAATACTTTAGTTGTAAACTACACATTTGAGGATAAATGACAAGAATAGTGTCGTTTTGTACTTTCCTCCATTTTTGTTAGTATGAATTACAGTTAATTAAGTATTAATAATGGTACCTTAGATATCCAGTGTGCTGTAATGGATGGAGTGTCGGACTAGAAGTCAGGAAGCCAGGGTTCAAATTGTTATTTAACCATGGAAACTCATTGGGGGTGTGGAACTGTTAAAGCCATTCCTTAAATATCCCACTTACCTTGAAAGCCCTGTTAGGGTGGCTATAAATTCTGACCTGATGGTGCAGAACAATAACAAAGAAGCTACCTTAATATTCAAACGTTGCTTTCATTTTTAACCAGATGGAGTTTATAATGCTTAAGTATAGAATTATGGCAGAAATATACGATAAACGGGCACTCTGCATGTAAGGGATGGGGCCCTTTCATCCTCCAGATGTTAGATTACAACTGCTACCAGCCCTTGGTAGCAGCGCTACTGCAGAGGGGTTGTGCTGTTCTAGTTCTGGTTTCATATCATGTACCATAGGGAAATGTGATGTTATATCATTTCAGGCATTTTCTACTGATTGAGGATTACCGCTGATGATTGCTGTCACCTGTGAAAAATAACCCTTTTTACTTAAAAAATGAACACCTCCAGAAAAGATATTCCATTGACTTGTTAAATTTCTGAGATGGCTCAAAGAGTCAAGTATCTTGTATGGTGTGACAGGCAATAAAATAGCCTTAAAAGAAGAAGAAGAAGAAGAAGAAGAACAGATTAAAATACAGTGGTGCCTCGCTTAACGAGTGCACCGTTTAACGACGAATCCGCATAGCGACGCGTTTTTTGCGATCACTAATGCGATCGCATTGCGATGTTTTAGATAGGGAAAACATCGCATTGCAATGATCGGCGTTCGGCTTACCGTCCTTCCCAAAACGACCCCTGCCGATCAGCTGTTCGGCGGCCAAAATGGCCACCGGAAGGCCGCTGGGTCAACAAAATGGGCGCCCGCAGCGTTTTCGCACCCTCGTTTACCGGGCGGTGAAAATGGCGGCCGGATGGGGGATTCCCCGCATAGCGGTGAATTTTTCCCCGCGTGCATAGCGATGAATCCGGATAGCGACGTTAATCCTGGAATGGATTAACGTCACTATGCGGGGCACCACTGTATCAGTAGTCCTTTAGCAGCAAAATACCATAAGGGATACTATAGATTACAACAGCCAACAGGAACAGAAGGCAAAACTAAAGCATGGAAATTAAAATACAGAATTTAAACATTCTGGGGCAATAAAAGGACCTTGACCTGGCATGAGAAAGATGTGTAATTATGTGTCCAATGAGTTTTCCTGGGAAGAGCCAATCCCTTCCATATCTTTGTTTCCCATAGATTAGGGAAACTACTTCTGTTTTTTTTCTGTTCTTGTTTTTTAAAATCCATTATTCTCCTACAATAGACAAAGATTGTGTGCATATCAAATTTTCCTCTCACTTTCCTTCTTTAAAAGTCCTATGACTAAGTTTGGCCTCCTCTTTAAAGGTTGAAAAAAGTGGGATTCTGCCTGTTAAAAGAAAGCCTGTAGCTGGGGAAGGACGGCTAGATATTTATCAGAAATGCCATGGTTCCTGTCTCTGAAACTGCCTGATTTTCCATGGCATTTTTGTTTGCAAGATCCTCTTAGTCACAAAACCATTTTCCATATAGCCATGGATAGTTGAGGGACTCATTGCTTTTAAGGGGAAATGCCTTCTCTGAAACTGAACTAAAAAGCACAGGACATGAAATTATTCTCTGGATTCACTCTCGATATACGGTATTAGGGAGCAATGTTCAGTAGGATGACAGAAGAAAATGCTTTAAGAAATGTAAAATTGGAGCACACAGCAATGAAGGTTGCAGTTATTAATAGCTTCACAGTACCTTCTGTCCTCTTCAAAATTGTAATGTGAATATAATTAATATAAGAATAAATGAAATAACTTTTCAATTCAGTATTCCCTTATTTGTTGTATTATTTCTAAAATGTACAAATGATTGTTTATCCACAATGGATCATAGGAATTTCAATATGACATTTTAAAGGTACAAATGCAATATAATGCAGATTAAGAGACATTAAAGTTCTTCCAGAAACAAAAGGTGCAACAGTAAAAAGCAACCCTTAGAATTTAATTTGAAAATTACTGGGCAAAAAGGTTCAAATTTAATGCAAAATATAAGAGAAATATCAGTATTACTTTTTGACACTTTTGACAGGCATTTCAGATGACTAATATGGAAAGTTTATTTTCTGGCTAGCAATTGGTCAAAACAGAAAACCATCCAATCAAAATGTATCTGCAGATAATAGGAGGAGGCAAGATAAGCCTCCTCCCATAGACTTCAGAGCTCATTAGCTAGAACTACTCACAGTTCTAGCAGAGCACACCGTATTTTTTGCTCCATAAGACACTCTTCCCCCCCCCAAAAAAAAGTGGAGAGAAAAGTGTGTGTGTCTTATGGAGCGAAGACTAAAAAATGGTGCAATTTGTGGACCTTAACAGACCCCCCAGAACCCATGACGCTGTCACACACGGCTGGGTTCTGTACTCCTCCCACCAGCAGCAGCCTTTTTTTACCCTCCCGACCCCAACCCAAGCCTGACAGCACGCCCCTCTTCTTTGGCTTCCCACCACCAGCAACGAAAGCTCGACTCTGCAAGATAGAGGCAAGCTCCGCCTCCCGTCTTCCATGCCGCCGCCTCCAGTGTCCCTCTCTCAGGCCTGCCGCCAGTATTGGTTCGTTCAGCACCAGGCTGAGCCCCTGCCGCACCGCCCGTCTCCTTCCCCTCCGGGGCAGGGCCTAGGAGCACTTCCAGACCACGAGTGGTCAACTGACGAGTGCCATAGAAATGATGAGCTGGTTGGGGTGGTAAGGGAGCTGGCTCCCTCCCCCCCCCCCCATGCTTTAGCAATTGTAGGCACATGGGCGAAGACAGAGTGTACCATTCTCTGGAAAAGGGCGGAGTTTTACTTCCAGCGCTCTTCGCGGGAACCATTCCTTGTACTGGAGGGGAGAGGAGGGAGATCACAGGTAGTTACCGTAACTGCGTCTTATGATCAGGTGTGTCTTATGGAGCGAAAAATACGGTATGTCACAAAATAATGCAAACCATTTTGATACTTCTTTCCACACAGTGTGAAGGTGCCAGCATATCTGGAAGATAATTGGATGGTTCCTTACCTTTCTGTGTTTCTAAACTATCATAGGAAATTGATATGTTGTGCATATCTTAAAAAACAACTTGGAGAACAGGGAGTTCGTGTGTTAAGTAGATACCATCTGTACTGCCCCTAATTGCATGTCTGAATTATGAGCCTCTTTGCCAAAAGAGAAATATATTTTTCATTGTTGCTGAATCATTTTCACCTTGGACTCAGCAGAGGTAGTTCTGCAAAAGAAATACATGAAAGCATTCCCATGAAGAAGATGAAAATGAATTCATACCTTGTCAAGTTTGCAAGCTTGAGATGTGCACATGAAGTTAACTTTCTCCGAACGGTTACATAAATATACCCATCACTTTCCTCTGCATTTTAAAAAACTAAATTATTTTAAAATCTCAGTTGTTAACCCTGTGTGTGCTATAAATATACGCAAGAGCACATGTGTGATAATGATATGCCCTGTAACTTAAGATAAAATTATTTCTAGTTTATTGTGCTTAGTGAAGGTAAGCATGGGGTTTTTGCTTGATTTTTCAGTGTACAGTTGTCACCATAGTTTATGATGAGCCAATGTTCATTTCCCCCCAACAGCACAGCCCATTCTTTGCTGAACAGCTTACAGCATTTCAAGTATGGCTGACGATGGGAGTAGAAAATCGCAATCCACCTGAACAGCTTCCCATTGTATTGCAGGTGAGTTGTCTTGGCAAGGGGTCAGTCTACTAGCATAGCTGAAGCTGATGAAACACATGGTTAACCAGCCAGCTGCTTGCTTCTTCTCTGTTTGTGTGTGTTTATGGGCATTTCTTTCCTCCTGGCTTTGCTCTCTGCCAGATGGTGTTTGGGTAAATAAATTATGTGGACTGTGTTCAAGGCTAGCTGGAGCTGATAGTTTGCTAAGCCTGTTCTAGTAAAGACATAGTATACATAGGCACTGTCCCACTGGCCCACCTCAAATGTTCTCCAGTTGAGCATAAATTGAGGTTGCAGATTTGGCAAGTGCTGCAGAATTTAACTTCTTTCACCCGCTTCTTTTATTTCTGTATCAACAAAGCCCTTATTTCCAATAGCCAGCCTAGATAGATGTCATTCTCACTTGCCATTGAAAATATGCAGGTTACTAAAATAGGAAGTTGTCCATTTATTTTGTGAGAAATTTCTATCAACTTGTGAACATTACATGGATGGATCATTTTAGCTGTACCTTTTTAGAAGAGTTTACTGACTAAGCATATTTCAGATCATTAGTGGCTTAATCCAATGGATTAATTATTGTCTAGTTCAGAGATGTGGAAAAGCAAATGCCAATTGGCAGGAGTGCAAAGGAGTCACTATTTTTTGCTCAGTCGTGACTAAATTGTGGGTGGTGCTTGTGGTTAGATTATGTGCTTTACAATGATCAACAAACAGATGATTGTTGGGTTTCAAAATGGCCACCGGCTGAAGAAAATGGCTCCCCACTGTGTTAGGGAGGGATTCCTCACATTACAGGCACAAAAAAATGGCTGCCGTATGGAGGATCTTCGCTGGACGAGCAGGTATTCAGCCCATTGGAATGCATTGAACGGTTTTCAACGCGTTTCAATGGGTTTTTTCATTTCGTTTGACGACGATTTCACTGGAATGAATTAATGTCGTCAAGCAAGGCACCACTGTATATTGGTTTGTGTTTCTATCTATTATGTCATCACTTTTAAATTAAAAAACATACTATATGAATTAAATAAACAATATAAGTAATTTAATGAAAAGGAAATTATTACATAACAGATTTGGAAGCTATAAAATTTTAACCCAAAATAAAAGATCCATCAATTTTAACTTTTATTTATTAATTCAGTACTCCCTCTTTCTTTCAGTAAATGGGCTCAAGGTGGCTTCTTTATCTTTAAATAAAACAATGCAATTGTACCACAAAAATGCCCTGGATGTAGCTAGAAATGTCAAAAGTCATCTTCTGCCAACATCAATCCCTATATGATGGCGGAAATGTCTTTGTACTGACAGAACCAATTTTTGCTGCCAGAATCCTTTTACCAGCTAAAAGAGCTAGAGAAAGGGTGGAGTGAAGGAAATACTGAGATCCAAACCTCATCCAACAGAGGGACACAACGCTATACCAAGATTATGCCAAAACAAGTGTGATCTTCCATAATTTCCACATCCTTAGTCAGGGAGGAATTTAAATTCACCAAGGCTTCTGCTGGCGTAGCATCAACTCACCTAGTCCTCTGTTAGTTTTGCTACTTAGGACTGTGCTCTGAATAGCTGTTATCTATCCTGAATTTGATTTGCTCATTTCTCTCTGAATTTAATTTGCTTATTTATCTGTACACATTCACCATGATTGTTAAATCTAAAATCTACAGTAATGCAATATTGTTATTGGATTATTATTTTTTATTTCTAAACCGATACCTCTAGTTTTAGGACAAACTAAAATCTCACAAAACAGAGAACAAGCTTTGAAATTCTCTCTGAGTTCAGGTCAGCAGGGTGAGAGAACAGTTTGGGAGCAGAATACGTAGCTGCTCCCCATGTCTGTGATTTCTAACAGTCTTCAGATAGAATGCAGGAATCATTACATAGAAATAAGTGAATTAGACTAGTTGGAGGATAACCTGTAAGATACAACCAGAATCAAAAAAGTAAATGCTAATAGGATACAATACCTACTAGTTATTCCTAATTTAAACAAAAAAAGAGTGTCTGATACTTTTGATACAGTATCTGGGATCTTAGTTGTTTTCTTACAACAGATGGTTATAACTGTAATTATAATTGAAATGTTTATCACTTCTGTGAGGCCAACTGGTCACTTCTGTCCTTTTTTCTTTTTGCTGAAGATTACTAGATGTGGGCTCTTTCTGCTAAGAGAAATAAGGTTATAGTCTTTTATTCATTCAAGGGCATCCATTTTCCTCCTTTATGATGTGTAAGGAATCTCATTCTCCTTAGATTCGCTGTCTTGCATCATAGCTGATGGCGTCATCAATCTTAGTGAGCCTGGTTCTTTGGTTTCTAGGACTTCTGAAGTCTAGGAGATAGTTTTGAAAGAGGAGATGCTAGATGGGCAGTTTATCTTTGACAAAGCTGAAGGAACAGACAGATTTCGTATCTGACATCAGTTCTGTTGAATGATTTGACACCAGAGGGCTATACTAATAATTAATTTTGCAGCAGTATTAAGACACCTGTTGCTTTGTGTAGGGAAGTAACAATGCCAGTGCCAGAGCCATCACAGAGGTGAGTATTCATGAGGAAATCCGTTCACATAATTTCATTAGGTTTGCATCACAACATGATGGTTTGACAGGGTGTATCAACACATCTAAATTTAAGCAAGTGCCTTAAAAAGGAGGCCTCAACTCCTCTCCCGTAGTTTTTTTCCCCTTGTTTTGTCTCTCCCTGGAGAAGAGGGACATTAGAGCCTGGGCAAAATGTCTGGCGTTTTTGCCAGGTTATCCTAGTAAAAGAAAAACAGCCCTTTTATAAATGGCTTTTTATTGACTTTTTAAAACTTGCAGTTTCTTTAGAGTCTCATTTCTCCTGAGAAAGAGAATGTAGAGGGTAGGGGCATGGGTGTGAAGGGCCCTTAATCCTTACCAAGGCATTTGCCTTCCAGACTATATCCAGCACAGCTCAATAGGATTAGTACTTGCCCTGCGGAGGCGAAACCTAATTTCAGATGCTGCTGCCTTTTAATAATGGTGCTGGTTGTTATTTGACCTGTGGTGTCTTGTAATTTTAATACAAAATCTCCTTGAATTTATCCATTCTTGCCTTGAGCAGGAGCTTTGGTATTTGCATATACACAGAGTACACTTTAATCACAGATCCACTGTTTTTCTCTGTTATTTGTCCCTCTTGTTTTAAATTCAACTTTTCCTATTCTTGCCAGACAAGGACTGGATTTTGCCTAGTTTTACAGTATCAGAAGCAACATATTGCCATGTAAGACCTATTTCCTATGGAATGTGTGTCACTATTCCTATGTGGAATAATAATGATGTGACGTGACCCTCACTTTGAGCAACCTGGGGGCACGCAGGAAGGCACACGAGCCCAAGGCACATGAGTCACATTCCCTTTTTCGCTGCCACCAGTTGGTCTTTACCAGCACAATTTACTCAGAAAGACTGAGGTTCATACGGCGTGTGACTTTCAACATAGAACAGGTTTATTGATTACAGTTTATTTGAATAAATTGTTAAAAGACGTTAAGGCATTTATTGGCTTCTTAATAACTCATTCCTTATTTAGCTTTCTTTAACGTCCTCACTCTCAACTGCCACCTTTAACTCTCCACAGCCTAACTCCCCACTTCACAGTTAACTCCCCAACTGTCAAGCCTCTAACTGTCAGACTCCACCTTTCTCACTCTAACGCACCCCTCCCTTCTAGTTTCATTCTGGCTCCGCCTCCCAACAACTCCCATTGGTGTAGGCTAATACCTTTACATATATGGGAAGGCAGGGTGTTCATTGCAAGTGACCAGAATCTTATTGGTGGTTTATGTATATGTACCAAAGCACTGAAGTTTCAGCTCTTAAACTACCAACTCCACCATCTTGATTTTTAAAATTTTTGATTTTGCATTGAGGAATTGTTCTATGTTACTTTCTTTTTAGTTTAATTGGCTTATATGTTTATTTGTTTTATTTGTTTTTTATATGGTTGCTAGGTTTATCTGGTTATTCTTTAATGTGGTTTATTTTGTTGTGAACAGCCCAAAGTGGCCTTAGTAGCCAGATGGGTGGTATATAAATAGAATAATAATAATAATAATAATAATAAT